AAGGCTGAGGCAGAAGGATCACCGGAGCCCACCAGGTCGAGGCTGCGGTGGCCGGGAGCGACCACTGCACTCCAGTCTGGACGACAAAGTGAGACTCCGACTCAAAAAAAAAAAAGAAGAGAAAATACATAAAGAAAGAATAGCCATGGGATTGCAAAAAGGATGGAATGAGGTGAGCAGTCACCAAAGAGGTAGCTTGGGTGGGCATAGGTCACTGGGAGTGGAGTTAGGTTCAAGTCACCGAGTAGGAGTTGGAGTTGAGTATCTCAACTCTCCAGGCAGGCTAAGTCAACAGCAGGTGCCCTCCAGGACTCAGGAGAGCCTCCCTGAGGACCCAGAGTCACCCTCCCCTGCCCCACCTTGCCCCAGCCCAAACCAAACCAGCACAGCTCCCTGCAGCCCTCTACCTGTTGCACTCCTCCACCAGTGTCTCTCTTTCCTCCTTGCTGGGGTTCTTCTGCCTCTCATAGGCCTGGAACAGGATCTGCTGGGATGCTGGGCCCCACTTGAAGCGATTCCTTCGCCCCTTCTTGGTTGGTAGCTCATCCCCTGTGGGTTCTTCGATCAGCCCACCCTGCCCTGCATGGGTGAACTCTGTAAGCACAGAGAGCCATGAGTGAGGCTCCAGCCACCCCCACCTTCCCACATTAGTTCACCTAACCATGCCCCTGATGCTTTCTCATCCTCAGGGTGTTGAACAGATGAGCTTACAGCTAGAACTTACAAATTATCCAATCCAGGAACAACAAACACATAGTGCACGGGCCACCCCTTTCTTTACTTGTGTCCATGGCAGACATCATTAATCAATCCCTGCATGTTTTTCTACTGAGCCAAGATACAATCTCACAGTCCTCCTCAACACAAGACTCCAGGTAAGCACAAGACTCCAGGTAAGCATTAGCATTTGTTCAGATTTGGCACATTTTGTGTCCCCGTTTTACAGATGAGGAAGCTGAGGCTCTGGGAGGTTACATGTTTTTTCAGGGTCACACAGAGCAGAAACTTGAAGCATATTTCCTGAGCAGATTCGGAACTATTAATAGATTCAGCTGTTCAGTCTTGGACATCAGGCTTAAAATACAAGCATTAGCCAGAAAGAAATTGACCCAGTCAGCTCTCATCAGCTGGTTCCACCTTACTGGAAACTAGTCTATCAGATCATCCCTGACCAGGCCACCAAAGGAATGGGACAGCACTTTAGGAGAAGAGAGGAAGGAAGGTTCTAAGCAGCAGGCGAGCCCTCAACATCTGAGCACTAAAAAGTAGAAGCAGGCCCCAGTGCTCCGGGGAGAGGCAAGAAGTCCCCCTTACCAGCTGCTAGAAGCCCACTTGGCCCAGATGCCGACATTCTCAGCCCCTGTGGCTTGAGCGCCCACTCCCACTGACTCTCAGTTGGCCACCCTGCCTTCTTCCTATGCCCACAGCATGGCCCCAGGCTGGCAGGGCCTGGACCTAGCTCTGGAATACGTGATACTATGACTTGGCCTGAAAACCTAAGATATTTCAGCTTCAAAAACAATTAGTCAAGGACATCAAAAAAAAGGGGAAATCTGAGAAACGGTCACAACCAAGGGACTAAGGAGACGTGAAGACTAAGTACAATGTATCTATACTAGATGGGGATCTTGGGATGGAAAATGTCTTTGGACATTAGGGAAAAGGAAAGGAAATCTGAATAAAGTATGAACTTCACTTAATAATGAAGCCTTGCCAGGCTTCTTGGTGGCTCAGCCTGTAATCCCGCGCCTTTGGGAGGCTGAGGTGAGTGAATTGCCTGAGCCTGCGGGTTTGAGATCTGCTTGGGCAACTTGGCGAGACCTCATCTCTACAATAAATCAAAAAAAATCAGCCAGGCGTGGTAGCGCGCCCGTAATTCCGGCTACTTGAAAGGCTGAGGTAGAAGGATCGCCGGACCCCACCAGGTAGAGGCTGCGGTGGCCGGGAGCGGCCACTGCACTCCAGTCTGGATGACAAAGTGAGACTCCGACTCAAAAAAAAGAGACAAAAAACATAAAGAAAGAATAGCCATGGGATTGCAGAAAGGATGGAATGAGGTGAGCAGCCACCAAAGAGGTACCTTGGGTGGGCGGACGTCACTGGGAGTGGAGTTAGGTTCAAGTCACCGAGCAGGAGTTGGAGTTGAGTATCTCAACTCTCCGGGCACGCTAAGTCAACAGCAGGTGTCCTCCAGGACTCAGGAGAGCCTCCCTGAGGACCCACAGTCACCCTCCCCTGCCCCACCTTGCCCCAACCCAAACCAAACCAGCACAGCTCCCTGCAGCCCTCTACCTGTTGCACTCCTCCACCAGTGTCCCTCTCTCCTCCTTGCTGGGGTTCTTCTGCCTCTCGTAGGCCTGGAACAGGATCTGCTGGGATGCTGGGCCCCACTTGAAGCGATTCCTTCGCCCCTTCTTGGTTGGTAGCTCATCCCCTGTGGGCTCTTCGATCAGCCCACCCTGCCCTGCATGGGTGAACTCTGTAAGCACAGAGAGCCATGAGTGAGGCTCCAGCCACCCCCACCTTCCCACATTAGTTCACCTAACCATGCCCCTGATGCTTTCTCATCCTCAGGGTGTTGAACAGATGAGCTTACAGCTAGAACTTACAAATTATCCAATCCAGGAACAACAAACACATAGCGCACGGGTCACCCCTTTCTTTACTTGTGTCCATGGCAGACATCATTAATCAATACCTGCATGTTTTTCTACTGAGCCAGGATACAATCTCACAGTCCTCCTCAACACAAGACTCCAGGTAAGCATTAGCATTTGTCCAGATTTGGCACATTTTGTGTCCCCGTTTTACAGATGAGGAAGCTGAGGATCTGGGAGGTTACATGTTTTTTCAGGGTCACACAGAGCAGAAACTTGAAGCATGTTTCCTGAGCAGATTCGAAACTATTAATAGATTCAGCTGTTCAGTCTTGGACATCAGGCTTAAAATACAAGCGTTAGCCAGAAAGAAATTAACCCAGTCAGCTCTCATCATCTGGTTCCACCTTACTGGAAACTAGTCTATCAGATCATCCCTGACCAGGTCACCAAAGGAATGGGACAGACAAGAGCCAGGACAGCACTTTAGGAGAAAAGAGGAAGGAAGATTCTAAGCAGCAGGCGAGCCCTCAACATCTGAGCACTAAAAAGTAGAAGCAAGCCGGGCTCGGTGGCTCAGCCTGTAATCCTGCGCCTTTGGGAGGCTGAGGTGAGTGGATTGCCTGAGCCCGTGGGTTCGCGACCCACCTGGGCAGCGAGACCTCATCTCTACAATAAATCAAAAAATCAGCCGGGCATGGTAGTGCATGCCTGTAATTCCGGCTACTCAGCAGGCTGAGGTGGAAGGATCGCCGGAACCCAGCAGGCGAGGCTGCGGTGGCCGGGAGCAGCCACTGCACTCCAGTCTGGGCAATTGAGTGAGACTCCAACTCAAACACACACACACACACACACACACACACACACACACACAAAGTAGAAGCAGGCCCCAGTGCTCAGGGGAGAGGCAGGAAGCCCCCCTTACCAGCTGCCAGAAACCCACTTGGCCCAGATGCTGACATTCTCAGCCCCTGTGGCTTGAGCGCCCACTCCCACTGACTCTCAGTTGGCCACCCTGCCTTCTTCCTGTGCCCACAGCATGGCCCCAGGCTGGCAGGGCCTGGACCTAGCTCTGGAATACATGATACTATCTATGACTTGGCCTGAAAACCTAAGATATTTCAGCTTCAAAAACAATTAGTCAAGAACATCAAAAAAAGGGGAAATCTGAGAAACGGTCACAACCAAGGGACTAAGGAGACGTGGAGACTAAGTACAATGTATCTACACTGGATGGGGATCTTGGGATAGAAAATGTCTTTGGACATTAGGGAAAAGGAAAGGAAATCTGAATAAAGTATGGACTTCACTTAATAATGAAGCCTTGCCAGGCTTGGTGGCTCAAGCCTGCAGTTCCAGCACTTTGGGAGACCGAGGCAAGAGGATTGTCTGAGTCCAGGGGTTCGAGACCAGACTGGGCAACCTGGTGAGACCTCATCTCTACAATAAATAAAAAAATCAGCTGGGCATGGTAGCGTGTGCCTGTTATTCCAGCTACTCGGAAGGCTGAGGCGGAAGGATCGCCGGAGCCCAGCAGGTACAGGTTGCGGTGGCCAGGAGCGAGACTCCAACTCAAAAAAAAAAATGAAGCCTTGCTGGTTTATTATTAATTGTGACAAATGTACCATACTAATGTTAGTAGTAGGGAAAACTGGGGCCAGACACAGAGGCTCATGCCCATAATTCCAGTGCTTTGGGAAACCAAGGCAGGAGGATCACTTGAGACCAGAAGTTCAAGACCAGCCTGAGCAACATAGTGAGAACCCCTGTCTCTACAAAAAGTAAAAAAAAAAAATTAACCAGGATGAGCCCAGAAGTTTAAGGCTGCAGTGAGCTATGATCATGTCACTGCACTCCAGCCTGTGCAACACAGTGAGACCCTGTCTCTTTAAAAAAAAAAGTTTTAATTAGGGAAAGTTAGGTGTGAGTTATACGAGAATCCTTTGTACTCTCTCCTAGTAAGTCTGTAAATCTAAATGTATCCTAAAATTACAAGTTTGGTTTCTTTTTTTTTGTATTGGAGCCTCACCCTGTCACCCAGACTGGAGTGCAGCGGCATGCTCCCGGCCACTGCAGCCTTGCCCTTCTGGGCTCTGGTGACCCTACTGCCTCAGCCTTCCAAGCAGCCAGATCTACAGACACTCACTACCACGCATGGCTAATTTTTGATTTATTGTAGAGATGAGGTCTCGCCAAGTTGTCCAGGTGGGTCACGAACCCGCAGGCTAAGGCAATCTGCTCGCCTCGGCCTGCCAAAGTGCTGGGATTACAGGCTGAGCCACCAAGCCCAGCCACAAATTTGGTTTCTTAAGTGATCGAACATGCAAAGCAGACAATGTTAGGCCACTGTGGATTTGATGGGGGAGGGTTGAGGAAGAAGTTCAGAGAACATCTGGCAGGAAACCACTTGCCGTAATAACAGCAAGTGCTTTCTGCTTTCCGTAAGCCAGGCACTTCTACAAACTTCACCTTCAGGACAGCCCCACAAGGTAGATTCTATTTCATGCCTATTATATAGACGGGGAAACAGCATCACACGAAGGCTAATCAACTTGCCCAAGCTCACACAGGGGACAAGTGGCAGAGCCAGGCCTTAAACCCAGGCAGTCTGGCTCAGAACCTTGCATTTAGTCCCTGGACTACCTTGTCCCAACCAGAGCATATTTATCACATCTGCTGCTTCTCTGAGAAGGCCCAGTCACTCAGTTTATTCTCTGAGAAGTCCCCTGTGGCAGACACTGCTTTCCCCTGCATGGTACCATTTCCTTCTTCAGAAAGCAGCACCCTGATTCTCCTTGACAACCTTCGTCCTCTGTCTCAGCCCATCTAGTTGAGGTGAGGTGACCTTACTCTGGTCAACAGCAACACTGCATCCCTCTGGCTACTGTGACTGGCTCATGAGTCTTCTTTCAATAAGTGGTGCTGGGTGGTCAATTATATAGGAGAAAAAAAATGAAACCTGGATACCAGTAGCTCCATCTATAAGGTGAGAGGAATAATAAAGGCTGAAACAACTTGAAAAGATAAATGAAGCCTGACTTTCTATCTCACATACAAAAATCAATTCCAGCTCTGAATGTGGAAAGTCAAATAAAACTATTAGAATAAAATAAGGAGAATATGTGTTCATAACTTGAGTTAGACAAAGATTTCTCAAATTCTATTTTTGTTTATTTATTTGTAGAGACTGGGTCTCACTATGTTTTCCACGCTGGTCTCAAGCTTCTGGCCTCAAGGAACCCTCCTACCTCTGCCTCTCAAAGTGCTGGGAGTACAGGCGTGAGCCACCACATCTAGCAGGAGACAAAGACTTCTTAAAGAGAACACAAAAAGCATTAACCATAGAGAAAAAAATAAGAACTTCTCATCAAAAGACATCATTTGAAGAGTATAAGGCAAATCACAGAGTGGGAAAACATATTTTCAGTATATATATTTGAAAAAGGACTTATGGCCAGGGTATATTTTATAAAACTTCTATAAATCCGTAAGAAAAAAAGTAGACAACTCAACTTAAAAAATGGGTAGCATCCTTGAATAGATACTTCTTAAAGAGGATCCCAGATATTCAATAACTACATGAAAAGATACTCAACACAAGGAGTTATCAAGGAAATGAAAGTTAAAAAATCACAGTGCAATCTACCACACAACTACCTGGCCAAAATGATAAAGACTGGCTTTACCAAGTGTTGGTGAAGATTCCAGGAGCACGTGGGACTCTCAAATACTACTGGGTAGTGGACAAATTGATCAGTATTTAGCAGTATCTATTTAAGCTGCAATTAAATACACTCCTTGATTTAGCAGTCTCATACCCATAGAAATGCACATACCTATTTAACAAAATACACGTACTGAAATGTCCCTAGCAGCACTGCTCACAAGAGCAAATAATCAGAAGCAATCCAAATGTCCACCAAAGAAGAAAGAATAAATACATTTATTCACACAATGGAATATTCACACACAGTCAATCTACAATGACATGGAATCACATGGATGAATCTCATGATCATAATATAGAGTGAAAGATGCCACTGTAACAGCATGATTTAACTTATACAATCTTCAAATAGCCACAATTGGCCCATGATGATAGGAGTCAAGATTGATGGTTACTCTCACTGAGGGGGTGGGGCTTCTGGGGAGTTGATACTATTGTGAGAAATTGTGAGAAAGCATAAATGTTTCATGTGTTAAGCCAATATGTTTGGAGTAGTATGTTATGCAGTGATTTGCAAATCAAATCGTTTTCAGATTTTCTCTCCAGCCAACATATAAGTAAGGACTGAAGTTCCACTGTTGGCTTTCTACTAGAAGGAATCACAATCCTTGACTCAAAATGAGGTCCTAGTCAGGAAGAAGAGAATACAAGTTCTAGACTATGGATAGGGTCAGAATGTAAGGAATAATGTTCTCAGTTTATTCGTAATTGCTTCTGATTGTCCTCATACACCCTTAATTTCAATTTGAAATTTGATTTCAAAACACAGCCAGTTTAGATGATTATCATATTCCATTTTTTTATCTGGTTGGTGGCTCCATTGGTGTGTCCACATTGTGAAAATTCATTGAGCTCTATGCCTAGGATTTGTGCACCTTGTGTATGTTGGACTTCATTTAAAATTTACATTATAGTTTGACACAGTGCCTGTAGTCCCAGCTACTCAGGAGACTGATATGGGAGGATTGCTTGAGCCCAGGAGTTTGAGACCAGGATGGGCAACATAGCAAGACCCCAATCTCAAAAATAAATAAAATTACAGTTTACATTTTTTTTAATTTTTAATTTTTAATTTGTGGGGTACAATTCAGGGTTAAGTCTACAAATGTTCATTATGCAGTACCTTTGTTGATGAGGTGTGCCCCCTCCCTCCCCTGGCAGTTTCCCACTACTGCCAGTCCTTTTCTTTTTTTTTTTGAGTTGGAGTCTCACTCGGTTGCCCAGACTGGAGTGCAGTGGCCACTCCCGGCCACTGCAGCCTCGCCTGTTGGGCTCCAGCGATCCTTCCGCCTCAGCCTTCTGAGTAGCCGGAATTACAGGCATGCGCTACCACGCCCGGCTGATTTTTTTGATTTATTGTAGAGATGAAGTCTTGCTGCCCAGGCGGGTCTCGAACCCGCGGGCTCAGGCAATCCACTCACCTCAGCCTCCCAAAGGTGCGGGATTACAGGCTGAGCCACCGAGCCTGGCGTAGTTGACATTTTTAAAAATAAAAAAGAAACATCTGACTAAAAGCAACTGATAAGAGGAGCTCTTTTCCCTCTGAGGTTGCTAAGCTGGCAGGATGACAGCCCAGAGCTTCCAGAACCCACCTTTGCCAATATGTGGAGAGCCTGCCTGAGAATGAAGCCAACACAAAAGAAAACAGAGCCCAGAAACACCATGCTGATGTCATTTGTGCACCTGGATTCAGCCATGCCTGAAGCAGCCCTGGACTCTTCACATCCATAAGCCAACAGATTCCCTTTTTGGTTTAAATCAGTTTGAGTTGGGTTCTGTCCCTCATTATAGAAAGAGTCCTAATACATGAGTCATATCTTGAAAGCTCTGCATCTCAAATCCTACAATTTCTTTTTTAGGGTTAAAAATTATCAGAGGAAGGCTATTTGAGCCACGAGGTGGGGGGTTGTTGTTTGTTTCTTTGTTTGTTTTGAGTCAGAGTCTCACTCTGTCATCCAGGCTGGAGTACAGTGTGGCACGCTCACAGCCAACACAGCCTCCACCTGCTGGGCTCAGCCAATCCTTCCGCCTCATCCTTCCAAGTAGCTGGAATCACTGGCACGTGCCATCACGCCAGGTTAATTTTTTTTTAATTTATTGAAGACACCAGGTCTCACTGTGTTGCCAAGGCTGGTCTCAAACCCCTGGACTCGGGCAATACTCCCACCTCCACCTCCCAAAGTGTTGGGATTACATGCATGAGCCACTGCACCGACCTACAGTTTGCTTCTTTATTCTAGCCTCTAGGCTGAAATCCTTGATTACATTTTTAACTGTTAGAAATGAAAAATAGGCCAGACTCAGTGGCTCAGCCTGCAATCCCAGCATTTGGGAGGCCGAGGTGAGTGGATTGCCTGAGCCCATGAGACCAGTCCAGGCAACTTGGCGAGACCTCGTCTCTACAATAAATCAAAAATTAGCATGGTAGCATGTGCCTGTAGTTCTGGCTACTTGGAAGGCTGAGGCGGAAAGATCACCGGAGCCCAGCAGGAGTGAGACTCCAACTCAAATAAGTAAATAAGTAAATAAATAAAAATTAAATTTTAAGTGAGCCAGATGCAGTGGCTCACGCCTGTAAACCCAACACTTTGGGAAGTCGAGGTGTGAGGATCACTTGAGACCAGGAGTTTGAGAACAGCCTAGGCAACACAGTGAGATCCCATTTCTATAAAAAATAAATAAGATTAGCCAAGTATGGTAGTGCATGCCTGTAGTCCCAGCTACTTGGGAGGCTGAGATGGGAGGCTCACTTGAACCCAGGAGTTTGAGGTTACAGTGAGCTATGATTGTGCCACTGCACTCCAGTCTGGGCAACAGAGCAAGACCCTGTCTCAAAAAAAAAACAGGCAATAAAAATAAATTTAAAATGCATTTTGTTTAATGTTGCAAAATTTCTTCCAGTGATGGTTTTGGGAGAATACATTCAATTTCTCTCAGAAGCTAAATCTAATTCTAACGAATTTTCAAAATCTTTATTGTTTTTTTCTCATACAAATTCAAATATTATCAAAATGTTTTGTGCTGTTTTTCCAAGTGTGTATTACATGCAGAAGGCAGTGAACACCTCAATAATTGGGATGAGGGATAGGCATAGAGTAAGGATCAGAGAGGTTTAATTGCACACATCATTTTGTTTCAGTAATTTTTACTCTTGATAGAAGCATAAATTGGTACAGCCTCTTTGGAAGGAACTTTGGCAATCTTTATTAAATATTTTAAAGTACCTACTCTGGGCCCCAGCACTCTACTTCTAGGAATTTATCCTACAGAAATGCTCACATGTGAGTACAAACTTATATAAAGAAGGGTGTTCTTTGCAGCATCTGGGTTGTTTGAACAGACTGGGAAAACTAAAAGTCCAGTGGCCAGTTAAACACATAATGATGCTTCCAATGAACAGTCAGCAGCCCTTAAAAAAGGATCAGCTCACTCAATCTCTCAGTGCTAACAGGAAAAGATATGCGAGGCTTATTGCTAAGAGGAATAAAAAACAAGGTGCCAGTGGTGGAGGGCACACCTCATCAACAAGGGTACCTGATATCAAACCAGGTGAAGTAGGGACCAAAGTGAGGCCCAAACTTTACCTACACACCTACACAATGACCATTTGTATATCTAGTTCTGAATTGTACCCCACAACTTTAAAAGAAAAAAAAAAGCAAAGTGCCAGCCAGTGTGTGTAGTATGTTCCCATTAACCAGAAAAGGAACAGGTAAACAACACATCTGTAACTAGTACCTAAAGAAAATATCTCTGGAAGGATACACAAGACACTGGGAATGCCAATGGCTGCTTTAAGAAAACCATGCCTTTTTTTTTTTTAAAACCAGGTGTGTATTGCCTTTCTTCCTTTTTTTCCTTAAGAAATGAGGTATTGCTATGTTGCTCAAACTCCTGAACTCACACAGACCTCCTGCCTCAGCCTCCCAAACAGCTGGGACTATATGCATGTGCCACCATGTCTGGCTACTACCTTTAAAAAAAAAAAAAAATGGATAATTGACTGGGCACAGTGACTCATGCCTATAATCCCAGCACTTTGGGAGGCCGAGATGAGAAGATTGCCTGAGCCCATGGGTTCAAGACCAGCCTGGGCAATTTGGCGAGACCTCATCTCTACAATAAATCAAAAATTAGCTGGGCGTGGTGGCACGTGCCTGTAGTTCCTGCTACTTGGAAAGCTGAGACAGAAGGATTCACTGAGCCCAACAAGTTGAGACTGCGAGGGCCGTGAGCATGCCACTGCACTCCAGCCTGGGCGACAAAGTAAGACTCTAACTCAAAAAAAAATCTGGATACTTAATAAAATTAATGTCAAAATTTTTACACATAGATAGAGTGACACTGCACTTGGGATTTGGTGGAATGGGAGACCTGGATAAGGAAACCCACTATTCCCTGAATAAAAAGGCACCCATGTCTTCCTGGGTTTGCAGCGCAGGATTCTCTGAGTGTGGACCTCACCTCTGCCTCTACATCTGCTGTTCCTTATGCCTGTTAACACCCTGCCCTACATCTCCATGGGTCGACACTTAACTCACACTTTAAGACCTAGTCTAAAGGTCATACTTCCAGAGGTATCAATCTTCCTGATACCTCTGCCTCCCTGAGGAAGAATAGATTACTCCCCAATCTATAGTCAGCTCAACACTCTCAAATACTTTGTGTAATACTCTGTACTGGGCCAGGCACACAGTCAATACTTGATAAATGCTACCTATTGATGTTGTTGCTATTGTTGCTAACACATTATGATACACGCCTCACTGAATCGTAATGATCAGTTCTGTATTCCCACTTAACTGTGAGTGAGCTCTTGGAAGGCAGGGACCCCGTTCATCCACCTTTGGAGATCCGGGCCATGCCCACTCCCCTCCTGCAGAGCATCTGGGGCAGAAGAGGTGGGCTGAATCCCACTGATTTCCTCTCACTCTACCCATCTGTGTAATGGGGCAGTGAACCTCCCGGCCTCCACCTATGAGTTGGGGGGAGATTCCTGGGCCTGGCCAGGGAAGACACGTGCTGGGGTTGTTACTTACGCTGAGCCACCTCTCGCTGCTTGCGGACGTACCAGGTGTACAGGGCGTCCCGCTTCTGAGTCTTCATGGGGGTGCCCTTGTTGAGGTGCTGGGACAGGTGGGACTGGTTGAGGCCAGTGGTGTCAACCACCTCCCTCTGCGGGATGTTGTGTGGCAGGTAGGACTTCACCATCTTTGCCACACGCCATGGGTCCTCCCTGGGAGGAAGGCAAGGACAGGGTCTGCTGAGCAGGGAGTGCTCCCACCATGGGTGGGGCTCAGGTCCCGGGTGCTAGAAACCTCGCCGGCCCTGGAGGTGGGGATTGTGGATGAAAGCAATTATGGAGCCCAGAGAGATGGACTCACTTGTGCTAGGACACAGGGACACAGACACATGGACATGGGGTCAGAGACTTATAGACACAAACGCATGAGACACATGTGGACACAGGCCTATGGACATATAGACATGGAAATGGGAGCAGATAAAGATTTCAAAACATGGACACATGCCGGGCTCGGTGGCTCAGCCTGTAATCCCGCGCCTTTGGGATGCTGAGGTGAGTGGATTGCCTGAGCCCGCGGGTTCGAGACCCGCCTGGGCAACTTGGCGAGACCTCATCTCTACAATAAATCAAAAAATTAGCCGGCGTGGTAGTGAACGCCTCTAGTTCCAGCTACTGGAAGGCTGAGCGGAAGGATCGCCGGAGCCCAGCAGATCGAGGCTGCGGTGGCCGGGAGCGGCCACTGCACTCCAGTCTGGGTGACAGAGTGAGACTCCAACTAAAAAAAAAAAAAAAAACATAGACACATGGACCAAGTATACATGAACAGATTTCCACCAGAAGCTGCACAAGCCAGACAGGGAAGGTCCTCACCTTGTGCCTCCTTCAAAGTTCCTCCCCTTATCCTACCTGGAAATGTTATTTGTGGCTATAGCTTATCCACTGTAAGAGACTGTAATCCCCTTGAGAGCATGAACTGTCTGGTTCTCAGCACTCAAAATGGGCCTGACATAGAATATGCCATTGATGGGCCGAGCTCAGTGGTTCAGCCTATAATCCCAGCACTTTGGGAGGCCCAGGCAAGTGAATTGCCTGAGCCTGCAAGTTTGAGACCAGTCTGGGCAACTTGGCAAGGCCTCGCCTCTACAACAAATCAAAAATTAGCCGGGCATGGTAGTGCACACTGTAGTTCCGGCTGTGTGGAAGGCTGAGGCGGAAGGATAGCTGAAGCCCAGCAGGTCGACACTGGGTTGGCCGTGAGTGTGCCACTGCACTCCAGCCTGGGCAACTCAAAAAAATATGCCATTGAAGAACACTTGAGTAAATGAGTGGATAGATGGATGAATAGGTGGATAGATGGATGAATGGATGGGTAGTTGGATGGGTGGATAGTTGGATGGGCAGGTGGAAGGATGGAGGGGTGGATGGGGTGGATGGGATGGATAGGTGGGTGGATGGATGGATGGATGGGTGGGTGGATGAGTGAGTTGGATGGGTGGGTAGATGGGTGAGTGAGTTAGTAGATTGTTGGGTGAGTGGGTGGATGGATAGTTGGATGGATGGATGGATGGGTAGATGGGTGGGTGAATGGATAGATGGGTAGACAGTTGGATGTGTGAATGGGTGGATGGGTAGGTGAGTAGATGGATGAATGGGATGGATGGATGGATGAATAAATGAGTGGACAGTTGGATGGGTGGATGGGTAGATGGGTGGATGGAAGGATGGAAGGATGAACAGACAGATACACACATGGAAGAAGGAGACCTACTGGGAAAATAAAAACATTAAATCTGAAAACAAGGAGAGAGATATGGATTCTCCCATTTTACAGCCAGAGCCACTGAAACTCAGAGAACTTGCATCATTTCATTTCTCGCCCAAAGTCACAGAGCAGCCCAGCAGAGTCCCTTCCACCTGAAGAGATTTGGTTCTAAGTCAGCCTATCAGGCAAAACTAACTCAGGGTCAAAACGCCTCCTGAAAATCTGCATACTGGGCAGTGGCAGGGCTGGTCTCCCCATGGCACTGGAGCAGGTGGCTGGTTTTCAGAGGAGTCCCAGGTGAAGGAGTTGGCATCCAGAGGCCTTGTTGTGCCAAAAATGTGTGTGCATGCATGCACACACGCGTGTGTGTGTGCACGTGCACCAGAATCCCACTCTGTGGCCTGAGATTCTCCCACTAGAGAGACTCAAGGGACCTGATGTCACTTGCGACTCATGTCCCTGTCCTCTGCTCACTGTGGGCCTCCCTGCGGGGAATGGAAGGAATTGGACTACCCATACCATATAAATTATCTCTCTTCCTCTCCTGCTCTGTCTCAACACTCCAAACCCACCCGGCTTCTCTCTCTCCTGAAGAAGAACTTATATGACAAATATGTGTCAGATAAATACAGCTCAACACAACAGTGCTGAAACAGGCAGCCTGGGATTTGAACCCAGATCTATGTGACTCCAAAGCCTGTGTTATCCCTTCCTCAACTTAGCAATTTGTCTCTAGAATTTGGGCCTTCTAGCATTAGCACAGGTGACAAATGGTATGTGCAGAAGGCAATGCATTGCCGCGTGGCTTGCCATGGCTAAAGATTGGAAGCAGCCCCAGAGCCCAGCGAAAGATCACGATAATTGAATTGTGACACATCTGTTTGACAGAACCTTAAAAACCCACTGAGGAAGCTGTGTGCCATCCAGATGGAAGAGATTCTCAGGTGTGTCTGTTCTGCTGCTATTTGTGTAAAATTGGAAGTGGGGTGAAAGAGGATTTCTACATATTTGTTTGTGCAGGTATGAGATACCAGAGGGTGCCCCAGGAACTGGCGACACTGGCTACTTCCTGCGGGGGACGAGGTGCTAGAGATGAGGTGAAACAGACAGGCTTCTCTGCTGCCCTTGTGTACTTTTTAAATTATGCCATATATTATTATGTAATGTACTATGTATGTATAGATGATGTTTAAAACTGAACTGTGAACAACTAAAATAAACCCCCAGCACTCTGAAGCCTGCCCTCACCCTGCCTTCTCACCAGACCTTCCTCTTTGCTAAGACCCAGTCCTTGCCCTGCACCCTCGGCAATGTCCTTCTCAGATAGGAGGGCCTGGAGCCCTTTGTCAGCTTTGACCCTCTCACTTCCTCTTTTTTTTTTTTTTTTTTTTTTTTTTTT